AGAATATGTTATTGAAAATGGCCTGAACAATTTTGATAGAAATTTTGTATGTTGTAGCCCTTATGAACAAAATTATACAACTCCCATTCCTGCAAAAATTACAGTTCAAAAGTTATTATTACTTATGTTATATCCCCATTAAACCCCACAAAAAAATCTGATTTTAGGAAAAAATGCTGGTTTTGATTAAAATTGCTGAAACATTTACGGTTCAAAAGCTATTGTAACTTATGTGATTTGCCCTATAAAATATCATAGTTACTCCCACCGCTTACCCATGATAAAAGTTGTTGACAAACTAATTAGAGAAAATATGTATCAGATTGATGATAGCATTTATTTTAAAATTAATTTATCAGATAACAGAAAAAAAACTTTCCAGGAGCTTTAAATTAGGTTAATGCATGAATTTTGATTTGTTTATAGTTTAGTACCATATTCCCAAAATATCACACAGCTAGGTTATCAAATGACTGATTCAAATGGGTTACTAACTTCAAAGAACAGAGGGATTCATAATGTTGAGTTGGCCATGATAGTCGCCAATGAACTTTAAACTTTGAGAGCTTCAGAACCATCATTCCTTAATCGATTCCGTTGGGTTGTAAAGCGGGCAAATCAAAGCTATCAGTAAATCAAAGCTATCAGTAAATCAAAGCTTTCGGCAGTAAACTGTGCATCACCGATGAGCGATGAAACTCATGAAAGCGTAATGGCGATCTGATTGGGTTCCTTGGAGAAACAGATGAATATCATTGTTCATCTGACTTCTCATAAATAGGACGGTGATAACACTCTCTCTGTGTAAAATTACATTTTAATTCCACAGGGAGGAAAATCCGTGAAGAAGTTTACAGTAAAAATAGTTTGAAACAAAACAAACATTAGGTAATGGTTGCTTTGTAGTGTATAACTTTTTCACAAGTATTTAAAATGTTTTATAAGATTACACTATGTTTACCAATATATTAATATTTTATAGGTAGAAAATGTAACTTTGCATGGTCGCCATTTCATTGAAAAGTATTAAAGTATAACTAGTAAACACGTGTAGCTCGAAATCGAGCAATTGCAAAGAAGTTAAGTAGTTATTTTAAAACAAATAAAAGTCATCATAATTTCCGGTGAGTTTAAAAGAATTTGAATTGAAAAATAAATAACACCCATTATAGCTGATCAAAATGTTAACAATTATGTTCTTCATAAGGATAACATGGGAACTTTAACAGCCACTGGGGCAGAGCCCAAGGGACTTAAAAAAAATGTAAAGTCAGTTTGCAAATCTACGCCACACGCTCTTTTCAATGGATAATATCGGTTAAGCCGGGTTTTCCTAGGCGCGTAGTCGGCCAGCGGAGAGAGGAACGCGGAGAGCGGACTCAGCTTGTCTTAGGTAATTTAATGTTACTGTTTTCCTAGCAGCGGAGCGGAATGCCATGTTAATTTCAATTCCGCTCTCCGTTGTCCGCTCTCCGCTGGCCGACTCCGCGTCTAGGAAAACCCAGCTTAAAGAAATGGCGGAGGAGTTCAACCGACAAAGTTTCATGTAGCATATTAGTTATATAGATTAATTATTAACTAAACTATTGCTCTTATTAATTAGGCATGTTATGTTTAATTACTCTCCAAAAATGTGTTAAGCTGGGTTTTCCTAGGCGCGGAAGCGGAGAGCATAGAGAGAGGAACGTGGAGAGCGGAAAAGAGATTAACATGGTGTTCCGCCCCGCTTCTAGGAAAACGGTAACATTAAATTGCCTAAGACCAGTGGAGTCTGCTCTCCGCGTTCCTCTCTCTGCTCTCCACTTCCGTGCCTAGGAAAACCCGGCTTTAGACTTAGATAGGAGATATTTAGCATTATTTATTGGTACTTGTTTTCTTTTATATTAAACATGTTTTTATGGCAGGCTTTGACTAAAATAACACTCTCCCTTAGCTTTGACTTTTACTCCCAGAGAGTAAAACGCCCTTTTTTAGTTCCTAGTTGTTTCATATTTTTGCATTCTGGTCAATTGTTCTACATATCAATACTGTAGTATAATGTACACTATCACAATCGTAATAGACCATTAGAACAGAGTTAATTTTATGTGGTTTCAAAAAGATTTTACTTGTTACATACGTACGGTACTGATGTTTAATCTATCTATCTATACTATTATAAAGAAGAGGTGGTGTCTGTGTGTTTGTATGAGCTAATCTCAAAAACTACTGAACCTACTGGGCTCAAATTGCACACAAATGAAGCTACAGTTCCGAGGATACATATAGAACTATTCCCGCTTCGATATTGTCCTAGGGCTCTGCCCCGTGGGCATTCAAAAATTTGAGGTGAGAGATTTAAAAGTAAATATTAATTGTTAGTATCCATGGTAACAAAGAACAAACCTACAAATTTTAAAAATGTAAACAAGCAGAACTAACTGTCAAATGAATTTTGATTTCACAATTCCACACAGCTGGTTGAAACATATTAAATACTGCACGAATATTAGAACAGAGAGGGTAAGGATTATAAATTTAAAATAATGATGTCACTAGCCCGAATGTAAACATTATTTAACCTCATGGTGGAAGGAAAAAACATAGGTGTGCTATTCCCACATATTCTGACGTCACTCGGATTGCAAACAAAAGATCACCTGATTGTAACTGTCAAATTAGTATATGTATTTGTTTTGATTTAGTTGTTATTGTTTTTATTATTATAAAAACAATAACAATCAAATCAAAACAAATACAGTACATACTAATTTGACAGTTACAATCAGGTGATCTTTTGTTTGCAATCCGAGTGACGTCAGAATATGTGGGAATAGCACACCTATGTTTTTTCCTTCCACCATGATTTAACCTCACTTAAATGGAGCTGTCAAACCATATGTTAATGTAATTTCATTAGTGTATGATTCTTTCAGTTACTTCATTTGTTTATGTTTATGATCTATTATACTGAGTTTGTACTAATATTTGTGAAATGCTGTAATAATATTTTACAGGGAACAATTCGTTGTAAAATAAATCATTCATGGATATAAGAAATAATTAAGATCCTATAATCATTGCCAGGCCATTATCCTGAGTTTGAGGTTTATTTTTTTGATTTATTTCTGTGTAAACAGCAATATAATCCCCCTGCCGCAGCAAGTCTATAGACTGAGTAAATTTCTATTTTCCTGATTATAATTTCACTAATTTCACTTTATTGTTGTAGAAAATTACCCTATTTTCCATATTTATTTATATTTTCCTATTTTTTCTATTTTTCGGTTTGTAACTGTTGTGATAGTTTTTTTGTTTACAGTGCAAACCATTAAACACGTTCTTTTACTGTACCTACCTTAAAATCTATCACTGGTTTTGTATCGTAGGTAGCCTAAATAAGTATGAACGGTATTAGTTAACCAAAACGTACTATTATCAAGTTAAGTTATACAGTTATATTTTGTTTCTGAATTAAATGGTAGGAGTGATACCATTTGGCATTTTCAAAGAACCAACATTGTCTCTTTTGCATGTGACAGATACATACTTAAGTAAATACGAAACCGATAAGGTTGAAATTTGGTGTGATGATAGCTGACATTCCCAATCAATATATAGACATATTCTTACCTCAAAACACTTTCAGGATCCGCCCCAGTGGCTCTGGCTCTGGATTTTCTCATGTTAGCCTTATGAGTATTCATATTAAGGGAATAAAAGAATTTTGTCAGCCATTTTAACTGTACAAGTCGGTTCTATGATATTAAATAGCATTAAAAGTAAGGCTTACCAACAGGGTGCAGCACTATTATGTTTTTTGCATTTATTACAACAGCTAATCTGAACCAACTAGCAACAAAAAGTTGTGGTACACAATGGAAACTTTACTTTTTCCATGGTTTAGGTGCAGTTGTAGAAAATTAGGGCTATGGTAGATGTGTGCTACACTATAGGATACTGTATAAATTTAAAGACCAAATTTCCTTAAACCGTGTCCTCTCCCGTTACTGCAATAAGCATTTTATACTTCTATGCCAACCCCGTACGAAGGACGGGTACTCTGCTAGTTATTAATATAAATGTTATTTTTACATGTGTTGTCTTAGCATTAAGACACTAATAACATTCTTAAAACAAACAAACAACTCATAAAATGAAGATTTAGCCATCTACCAGCATGAGCATTCATTTCCCTAAACAGGTTATCCTGGAAAGTCAGGAGAGAAGTTGTAGGCTATTGTGGAAGAACATGGCAGGATTCTTGCATATCACAAAATTAGGTACCAAAGTTTGACAATAATATTTCAACAATATATTTTTTCATTTTCACAAAATTATTCACTAGTCAAACAGGACATGTTTGGATCTAGATTAGAGCACATACAAGCCCATGTGAGTAAGTAAGTAACAATAAAACTCCCATGAAGTCAAATTTTGCTGAACATATCTTATCTTATCAACCAACAACAATTATTATTACACTAATTAACAAATATATGAATTCTGAAAGTGTTAACAAAGGAAACAGAATGGACTCACCCAAAGATTATCCTCATAGGTATATCAAGAAAACCAGAAAAATTCTAATCCCCTTCAAGAAACCCCATTTTTGACACAATATTACAATTACTAGTAAATCAACAGTCAATAAACTTTAAAATCCTGTCTCTTAAAAAACATCTGTAAAATCCAAATTTACACTGATCCAATAACATAAACAAAAGTTAAATCGGTTCTATATTTACTATTTTATTGAAGTTTGAAAATGGACCAAGTTACAAAAAACGGAACTTCAAGAAAATATATAAATTTCAGGGTGCACAGTTGTTTTTTTGATTTACAACCATAATTCAACAATAACCATAATAAACAAATACCGAGTGTCCCATAATAGTCCTCCCTGGTTAATTTTTAAATGGGACACTCGGGTGTATTAAAGCAATACATTGCTCCTCGACTTTCAAATCAATGTAAAGTGTTGTTTACAGTACAGAAAATAACAAGTGATTTTTTTCCAGATATCAACACTAGTAACACATAGAGAGCGAGGAGGGATATGTTCGGAACGGAGTGTCAGAGCCGTGGCGCGTGTCGGACAAGCCGTCAACCTGGCGGTCGAGAGGTTTGTTACCATCGGGGAGACCATCGCCGACGACAACCCGGAGATCAAGACGGAAATGTATCAAGCATGCAAAGAGGCCCGGGCAGCAGGTTTGTAACACGTTAAACTTTGAGATTCTACATTGACACTTCAAATTCCACAATCATAATGTATCCTAGGAGTGTACAACTGTGTTGCTTTACTAAAAGGTGAAAAATGTTTACTAAATTATTTCAAGGTTGGGCTAAGTTGAGTAAAGAAAATATACACATTGAGAGGAATCTAAAGATTTTTACCAGATTTTATCACTCTAACGAGTTATTACTAATCAGCAAGGGACCTTTTGTAGGATATTTATATCTAGGCCCAATGACAAAGATTATACTTCATATATGATGGATTATACACTTCATTTAAAAATATAATCTTTAAATCATTTGAAACTATCGGTTTCAAACAAAAATATTTTAAAAGCGTAATACTCTTTGTCTTAACCTCATATGCACATACTTACTAAAGTAATACAATAACAAGCCTTAACAGCGTTCCCAGATGTTCTCAGTAAGTCTAGAAATTGCATGTTATCTTATATCATATTTTCAACATTTAATATTAAATATAGTAGCATTGATTTTCAGGACACAAGAAAAAATATTTTTACAAGTATATCTTTATCCATCCCAACAGAGATAAGGAGGTTTGTACCGTTCACTTTCAAAAAGTAAAAATTCGATTGGCGTTGAAAACACACAAAGAAAATTATAATAATAATAACCAGCTTTCCTAGAACTCTGGTGGTGTTGTTAAATTACTTTATGCATATACATTAAGATTGAACTCAGTGTGATGCTATTAATTTTAACTTTTTTAAATCTAAAGCCTTTTCAAGTAGGTACCAAGGCTATTAAAAAATAATGTTTAAGATTTTGTTGGCCTGTACTAAAACTTCTTTATGATTGCCGTGTATCATATAAATACAAGGCGTATAAGTATTAAAGTGTAAGACCAGCCCTGCTTCTGTCTTTTACTGTAGCCTTTGTGTTCAAGGCTATTTCTTGCTTTGAAACCGAAATTATTTTAGCTCTAAGATGTTCCTAGTCTCAAAGAGAGAAATGTTTGACCCAGTTTTTCAGTTTGAAATATACTACATATTCCGTATAGAATTCTTCAAGTGATTAGGGTGAATTAGGAATGTTTAAGCATTGCTATATTATTTAACCAATAGTCAAAGGTCCAACACGTAGTTATTAAACTATACTTGCTTACAAATCATCCTAAGTATAGACTAAGTTCCACACAACAGGAAGAGTATCTTATTTGGTGAATTCTACGATGATTAATCACTACAGACTCAAAAGGCTCAGCAGGAGTGTCTCTATAAACATGAGCTTACAGCCACTCAACTCACAACCCCTTCATTTTCCATGCATTTTACTTTATTGATTTCCATTGAAGCAACTAGGGTGGAAAAATCGGGATTTGTCACACATAGTAGTGGGTGGTTGAAATTTTTGGGATATAAACTTAACTTAGCCCTATATATTGCTTGACAGTTATTGAAAAAATATAAGCACAAATTGACGAGTAGGTCTACTCCTATATAATTTAACATTACGGTATGTAGTATGTAGTATGGTAGGTAGCTGTAAGAGTTGGAGGGTATGATTACTCGTAAAGATGGTTGCTGGCTCAACTCTGAGAAAAGCTTAAAGCACGTTTTGATAGTTCCTATTTGGACCAAGTTGTTCTGGATTTTTGAGATTTTAACTAATGACACCTTTGATGGAACTAAACATATATTCCCACGTTGGAGTTAAAACATTGGCCTTAAATAGTGCAAGTAGACTAATTTGATCGTATTGTAAAATCTGTCTGTAAACTCTTCTGAAAGACAACCCTAATTTTTGCACTATCTCAAATGATAATCAATAAGGTTTGGTTAAGTTTTAATTTACTACTAAAGATAACAAAACAAATCATGAGTGTGTATTAGTGTTTGTATTTGGATTTGAGGAAATACAAATGATTCTATTTGGTCTGTATTTCCACAAAATATAAAAAATCTGTTAGCCTATTTTTGCAGCACACAGTGTTGTTTAAAACTGTAACTTACTTAACATAAACTTAACTTCAAGAAGTTCAAAGTTTTCTATTACATACTGCTGACATGTACAACACTAGTAAAACACTGCAGTGGTTAAGAAGTTGCAAACTCCATATTGGTAACATTATTGAACATTGGACAGAGCAAATGTGGTAGGATACCATCTGTTGCACAATGAATTTTTCAATACTGCCATCAGCAATACAAAACTACCATCTTATGTGTGGGCCATGACATTGAAAACTTCTCTGTCTGCTGTATAAACGGACAATAACTCTGTAAAATGCAAAATTTAGTTTTATCGTACAATTTGAATAAATAATTATCCCAATTGGTTTTGGCAGTGATTTTAATTTGTTGTACTTTCTTTATAGAAGAACAGGATAATATTTAGTTTCATGTGTTTTTTGGAAATTAAAATTTTCAAACTGTACATTTGTCAAAATTGACATAAATTGAGTCAAATCTTAAAAAGCAAATTCAGTACCCACACCAAATAATTTTAGTGCTGTTTTTATGATACAAACAACCCATGAAGTATTCATTAAACCTTATATTATTTAAATAGGGAATAAATCTAACAATTTTTAGGAAATATTTTTGCGAAACCCCAATAAGGCAAATGGAGATTCCCTTAGTGTGCAGGTTTGCTGCAAGACGATACTAACTTACCCTATGTATTTTAAATGTTTTAAACATTTCTCCTGATGTACTGTGGCCAGTCAGTACAATATTCAGGCAGGAGATAGATTATTGACGTCTATAGTCCGTGTCAGAAGATGACGTGATTGGCGTGGAGTGAGTTAGAAGATATTGGAAGATATAACATGACAGTGGGTTGGTCTCAGGTACAGCAATAGAGAAGCTGTGCGAGGCAGTGTTGGAGGACTCTCTGACAGACCGCGGTGCTGTGGTTCGTGCTGCGAGGTGTTTGCTATCGTCTGTCACGAGAGTCCTGTTACTGGCTGACATTGTCGTCGTCAAGCAGCTTCTCCTAGCTAAAGACAAGGTAAGGAAACCATCTAACTTGTACATTTTGAGATTTCTTTTAGTTGTAATGATTGTGTGAAAATAATTAAGTTGATAGTTTAACAGTATGGAGGTTTTTTTCAAGGTTATCTCTCTGAAACGAACACTTAAATCCAAATCCTAATAAAACAAGTTCGGTTGACACTTACGGATGATTGGAACAGTTAACCCTTTGCATTCGATTGACAAGTATAGGTCGCCGCCCGCCATTTTCCCGAGTGCTCGAATACTCTATGTACTATCCTCGCGGAAAAAAAGAAATACAAATCCACTTCAAAGGGTTAAAAAGTAGCAAATGCCTTATCAGAAGTACAATTTACTAATAACCAATCCTATCAACTTTCACCCAAGCTGTGCACTGTTTTTCCAATGTCTTTCCAACCAAGCCCAGAGACAGACAGGTATTCAAACACTCAATCGACTTTTCTACCTCTTTAGATCAATCCGCCATTGACCGACCTAGAGGGTCTTGCTGAACTATTAATAGTGATAAACCTTTCATTAGTTGAATTTTTCTAGCTTATATTATTGCAAGTGATCGTCTTCTGTTACTCATATTAGCTGATGTATGGATATTGAAGGTTTAAGGTAGGGAATCGTCGATTCCAAAAGTCATTTCTCGATTACTCGATTCCACTGATTCTTGGCTTTAGAATCGGAAACGAGAATCGACCGCTCAACATTAATACCTATTCCCGACTCGTCTGCAAAGATTCAATTCAATTCATGATAAATATTTCACATCCTCTTGTGCACATGCATGTGCGAGATTCGCGAAAACGGAAAATTACCACCAATGCCGTGATTGTGCATGACGGCGATAACGTTTTTGTGACCACGGGAGATGGTCAGTCAGCCGTGAACGCGGAAGACGACAATAATGTCTACACGACCACGGGAGATGTTCATGATTATGCCGCGACCACAGAAGTCGAGAATGATGTTCCGTTACCACGGGGTTATTCAGGGTTTAGCGGTGACCGGGGGAGACGATGATGATGTTTATAAGGACGCAGGTAATTATCATAATTTTGCTGCGATCGTGGAAGACGATGATGTTCTGTTGCCGCTGGGAGTTGTTCAGGGTTTAGCCGTGACCGCAGGTGACAGTGACGATGTCTATACGATTGCAGGAAATGTTTTTAACATAATGGAATCAATAGAACCGGAATTGAGAATCGATTTCTAAGTATCGGAATCGGAATCTAAAATTTCTGGAATAGATCCATCACTAGTTTAAGGGTAGAGAGGATGTCCTCAAATGTAAAATGTTGTATTGCAGTGAATAAATAAATACTAAGAAAAATACCTGTATCTATGAAAATTTCAAATTGTTTTGAATGGTTTGAATAACTGAATAGTGTCGAGTTTGACCTCCATTCAATATACTCTATGAGTAACACTTAAACAATTACAAATGTTTTGTTACTGCTGTTGTTTGTAACAATAAAACTGTGCTTCATAAAACGTTCTATACAATCTATTGATCCATGAAACATTAGTAGCCTATATCTTCCACCTATAATTGTACATATCTGTTAAGACATAAAACAGTCTTTGATCTGTGAGCTATATTATAGTATGAGTAAATATTCAGTAAACTTCTAAAAATAAATTTTTTAAGGACTTGCTCTCCAAAATAGAATTATTCTCCAAAAAAACTAACCTTCCTGCAGAATTATATTATTAAAAAAATGAATTTTACAGGTTGCAAGAAGTTTAGGAAGATTAGAAAACGTATCAAATTTCACAGAATTTGTGAAAGCCTTTAGCCAATTTGGAGCTGAAATGGTAGAACTAGCTCATCTCACCGGGAACAGACAGAACGACATGAAGGATGAAAGAAGAAGAGCCCAGATGGCAGCGGCTCGACAGGTCCTGGACCGGTCCACAATGTTGCTTCTCACATCTTCCAAGGTAAACATTCAGGATATTTGTTCAATTTATTTTTGTCGTTTACACTTACAATCTATGCTACTAAACTGAGAAGTCTCTCTTTCCATCTAGCAAAAACCTTTACACTATTTAAGTCAACATTTCACATATTAAGATAACGTATAAGCCCGGGTTCAGGATGGACCAAAAAGTGTTATAAGTTAGGTTGAAATCTGAAACCAATGCCATGTTGGGTTTTTTTCTCACTACTATATTCCAACTGGTTCCATCTCTATGTTATGATTAGTTTTGCCTATGTAGCCAAAAGCAAGGTACACACTGTACCGATGCAAGACAGGGCCCTTGTGGTTAGTCCCCAAAGATAATTTTCTAAATCAAGGGATTATTTTTAAAAGTAAAGGACCTGGTAATTGGCCGGATTTTACAATTCACATACCAGTGTCGACACATAGTGGACACAATTTTGATACTCGATACTCGATTAAACCCGCAGTGCACTCAGCAATCACAAATTGCAGACACTGGGGCTTTAGTTATAACAAAAGGTTCACAATTGGCCCCAGGTTCTTTTAGCCCTCTTGGGGCACTTTGTCTTTTGCTGCGTTTTTCTGGAATTCTCAGTCATGACATAACTGATCATACATAAAGTGCGGATTGGCTAGTATCGTAGTGAATAAAGATTAAAAAAACAGCCCTGGTGACAGATTTGAACTAGCCTACTTGGCCTTAATTCAAGCTCATCAAAAGCCTTGCTTGAGCTTTAAGGACAGCCTTAGTAATTTACAGTGCATATTTCATATTTTTAGCTCACAACAGATTTTATAACCCATTACATTTTTAGTACACTACCATTTCGATGTTACAGGCATGTCTTAGGCACCCAGATAGTTCATCGTCGCGTGAGAACAGAGACACGGTGTTTTGTCAGATGCGGCGTGCGATGGACCTAATACACTACGTAGTGAAGGACGGGGTACTGGACGGAGGTGAGGGGCTCGGGGACGAGAGTGAAGAGGACTGGGATGGAGGCAAGACCGTCACCTCCGCCATGAGACACTTTGAGTCCACGGCTGAGATGACCAGGTAAGTGTGTGAGAAATATATAAAGGATAGGGTACTGGACGGAGGCCAGGGACAAGAGTGAGGAGGACTGGGACGGGCAAGACTGTCACCTCCACCATGAGACAGATTGAGTCCACGCCTGAGATGACCAGGTAAGAGTGTGAGAAGGATATAAAGGATAGGGTACTAGACGGAGGCGGGGGTCTCAGGGACAAGAGTGAGGAGGACTGGGACGGGGCAAGACTGTCACCTCTACCATGAGACACTTTCAGTCCACAGCTAAGTTACTTTACAATCTGTTCTATAAATACGATGAACAATCAAAATGTTATAAAATACACCATTATTGTTTGGACATTAAACAATTGCTAAACACAATACAATACAATTGCTACAACAACACAACACAACATACAATTGCTACAAACAACACACAACAACAACAATACAATTCAAATACAACAATTCAAACAATTCAATACAATACAATTGCTAATCACTGTCAACAGCAATTATTAAGGTCCAGAATTAAAAGGATCTCTTGTGTCTATAAATCGTGTCTGCTACAAGATCGCGCCACTCGTCCTACACTCATCTCCATTCATACTTGTCTTAAAATACTTTGTACCATACTTTGTATGGTCGCCATTTCAAAGAAAAAGTATTAAAGTATTGTTGTTTGAGCAAGTTGAATGCTAGATTATTTGGATGAGATTCCAATTTAGAAAAATATCTTTTAGGCCTACTTAAATTAAATTTATGATTTCTTCCTTGACTGTGGGTATCTTAAGGTGTTCATGCAGTGTTCTGTTGGTGACGTACAAAAGGTGTGTTTAACTCAAATGTTTAAAGAATGAGTTTAGAATAAAACAAGATTTCTGTATGGCTTTGCTATGGACTAATACCTGCTATTTATTTAGCCAGGACCATTTATTAAAAGCCCAAAATGATCAAAAACAGCTGGGCTCAGTTTCAAATCATCAACAAGCTTAATTGACTTTTGTCACAATGACACTGGTGAATTTTTTATTATCAGAATTGTACCCAGCTGTATTTAGGGTTTATCTAAACTGTGCTTCATATGCACTTATATTTACCGAACAAATAAGTACAACGACAGCTGAAAAGATCACCGTTTAGTGATAATTTACAAATATTTGACGTGAAGAAGCTTCAGACACTTCCTCAAGCCACGTTTATTGAATTTATCGACTACATGATCAATTCATCAGTCTTCTTGCCTCAGGTTGACCCTGCTGACTCCTGCCACCAAGGAGATGCTAAGCTCAGCAGTTGATACCATCGTAGAGCGAACACAGGACTTCACAGATTCTGCGTACACAAGTCACGAACACAGAGAGAACATTCTCCTACTTTGTGACAGAGTCAAGATGGAGCTTCAACAGCTGTTGCGTCTGGGTGACACTTTGGTTTGTAACACGTTTTTTAGTAATTTATTTTTGAATTTCTTAGTAGTTAATTCAGAAGTCAAAATCAGCAGCAGGTAACTTTCCATGCTTTTTTTTCAAGAGCGTTATTTAGAGTGGAGGGAACTCTAGAATAATAGGCTACTGTACACAAAGCAAAGAAAAAAAATGTTGCTGCCAACGACTTCCTAACAACTGAATATTCCTTACTCAAAACCTTCCCTGGTTAAAATGCTGTCATGTTAATAGTAAACGATTACATTTTTTGTGAATTGAGTAAAGTGTTTCTTGGGTCAGGACAAAATCTTTCACATTCAGATAAGTCTGCTGTGCTAATTTAAAACCCTATGCCCTTGTGTCCTATTTTATATAATAAACAATTGTATTGTACTTTTAACTCAGTTTGAAAATTAAGTTTAAGTGGACTATTTACAAAATCCTCAAAAATGATCCCATATCAGTACCTAAATACTGTAAGCCTATTATTATAAGTAGTTGGTACATAACAAAAGATACACCTAACAGTGTGAGATATGCTGATTTACAATCAGATTAAACCAGTAAGCCTTTAATCCAAAGAAGCCTCACACTGATGCGACATCAGTAGATTATAATCTCGAGCCTGCAACAGTTGCGGTTTTTATGTCTCACTTTAAGGGTTTCCCACGATCATGATGCCACTATTATGTATGTCAATGTCTTAGTAAGATATCTAGTCTTCAGTTTACAAGAAAACTTTATACTAGCTAGTCCAATAACTATAGTAGCAGTAGGGATGGACGAGATTGGATTTTTAGTTCGAGACGAGACGAGACGAGATTTTTGATTTCTCATAAAATTTCGAGACGAGATCGAGACGGGATTTCCCTTCTCATACACAACGGGAAAAGCACGTTCAAAATTTTTACCTGATTTTGTAACATTGTTAGATGACTGTTTAAATACAAAAATAATGATAATAGGCAAGAATATTTACAATCTTTTATTAAAAAACATCAGCATAACATTTTTTTATTAATCACGCCTAACTTATTAAAAATGCCTACAATTAGGAAACATAGTGATATCAGTTAGGATAGAGTTCAACTTATCCTAAAATAAAATAAATCATAAAATAAAAGCAATATTAATTTTTATAAAATAGTTACTTGTTTTGACTTTTTATAGTAATAAAACATTTCTCACACTGCTTACACTTAACAAAACTTCTCAAATGTTATTAAAGTAATATTATTAAAATAATTAAAGTAATATTTACATTTAAAGAATTAATTAAATAAGAACACATTCGCAATGGAAACGCAACTACAACACGCTCCTGTATTGCGGGTATTGCATTAACTTTCTGCAGGCGTTTTTATTTTTTTATTTATTTTTTTTTTATTCTCGTCTCGATAAAAATCTTGGCCAAAAAGAAATCTCGTCTCGTGTAACGAGATTTAAAATTTCCCGAAAATTTCCCGAAATTTCGAGACTTGACCATCCCTTAGCAACCCTAACGGGGAAAGAGTGTGAAATTATAATACTTACTCTTTCGATCTGCTACAAAAATAGCATGTTGCCCCATTGACTATAAAAGGTTACATATTTTCAATGATTAACAACATTATCGTGGAATAAACAATGTTAAAGCATAGGTTTAAAATATATTCTATTTAATTGCTGTTTATCAACTGTGTCACAGTGTTAGTTTGAGAAGTACTTGAATAATAAATGTAAAAAAAACTAATTTGAACATAAAATGTTCATACTTTTCCAATTCGGAAACTAACCAATCTCTATATCAATATAGCTTTGAAATCCCTGAGGCAGTAGTCCCCCCCCATGTAAAACAAAAAAATATAAGCTATACAAACTAATTATACATGAATTGAAAAAGCAGAGACAAGTTTTGAAGAGACAAAAGGGAGTATAAGAAACTTAGTTTGCCGCCGAAAGAAAATAAATAAAGGTTCCTGCTGTGTTGCACGTCATGTAATTCCAAACATTAAATTCTGAAGGACATTTTTAAAGGAAGCCATTTTTGAAAGACATTCTTCCCTAGGACCAGCCAGACAGTTATTCTCCCACAAGAGAGATGGAGTCAGCCGTACTAAGTTGTCTAGAGTCAACGAGAGATCTGCGTACGCAACTGCAGGCGACGGCGCGAGAACAGAGCGCAGACATTGAGCGGCTCACACGCTCCAGCACAGACTTGGTACACACTCTGCGCAACACAGCGCTATCTGCGGACCAAGACAGGCTGGAGGAGGGTGGCGACAGGTTCAACGAGATGGTCGACCATATACTGGAAGTAAGTTGGTGATTGGTCGATGATAATACATAACGCAATCCTTATCCCTTATTTATGTTTGGGGTAGTGCACCATCTCATAATAACGATATATGTTATCAATTATCAGTTATTTGAGATGGGAGGCGCGTAATTTAAACCAAATAGAGTGAATGATGGGTTTAGAATGGTGTAAGATGATGTGTGTAGCTTTGTTATTGACTAAGATCAGCTGGTTCATTAATCAGGATCATTTATTTTAAGCCCAATGATCAGGAACAGCTGGGTCCGGTTTCGAACCACCAAAAATTACTGACTCAAGGAAGATGAAATGAGTGGTCTAACCTACCCGAGAAAAGATTTCCAGACAGTTGATGCACACACAAAGTTCATAATACAATTAATTAACTTTATATTTTGCCCCATCAAGAGAAAAACCCCCCTTTGAGGTCCCCACTCCCTGGCAACAGCCTTGTTTGCCTTATTGCCTTGTTCTGCTTTATGGAGGCTTCTTCATAGTGCCATACTTCCTCCTGGAGAAACCCTCTTGAAGGGCCAAATATAAAATTAATTGTGTTGTGTGCACTTATTTATTGTGTGCTATAAACTGTCTGAGTGAGTGAAATGTTTTCTTGGGTAAGTTAGGTGTGTATTCATTCTTCCTTAATGTATTCCTAAACCAAGTGCTCTTCTCCCCGAAAACATATTAAAAACATAGTGATGGATTTGAAGATTTGTTCAAGAGCTCAGTGGTACATAATCTTCAAGAGCTTTGAAAATATTTAGCACTGCAAAAAGGTAACTGATATTTAGAGGGATGATCGCATAGAGACGTAATTAACATCCTTATGCTTACCGATGGCTAGAAAACTCAACAAAAACATGTAAAGCTCAACCAAACCTAATCTAAATTTACTACTTTACAGGTATGTAAGATAATGAGACATATGGCTACCTCAGAAAGTTTGCAAGTGTCTGCTAGATATACTGAGATCAACTTGAGGATATACGGACCTCAAGTAGTGACTGCATCTCTCACCCTCAGCCAACATCCCACGTCCAAGATAGCCAAGGAGAACCTAGAAGGTATACCACTGTAAATCTAGGGTGTTCATCTAAATTTTGTTCTAATAACTTATTTTCCATAGTCCAGTTTATTTCAAACACCTTCTTTTTGCTTCAGAAACCAACTTCTGCTTCAAAGCAGATACTTTTGTTCCCTATTGCGCTGGCTTCTCCGTTATGATTGGAAAGATTTCCCTGATAACTTATTTACAAATGTCACTAGCTTAATATTTTCTCAGCCCCTTTGTCTACTAAAAGGGTAGAGTCTTGAGTCTATATTTTGATCAATATACTGGTGAAATAGAAATGGTCGTTTGATTGTCAGAGTTTTTTGTGAACAGATGAGAAAAGTTATACACAGTGATACAAGTTTAACCCTTATAGAGCTATGGCTCTTTAACCAAAGCCACACTGAAAAGTGCTTGGAGATTCGAACCAATATTGCAAGGTCTTGGGGGAAAAGTTATTTCTTCCTTTTACCCATTATATTTTAGAGATTTTTCAATTTTTTTTTTACATGAATACTAGTAGAACTAGAAAATGATGATGTTACGGTTCAATATAAAATTTGGTCCTTCAGTGTAAGAAATTGTATCTTAGTCTGACCTTATTGGCAGAGAATTAAGTATTAACTAGCTACCAAGTATCAATTTACAACCAAAATGAATTCTAACACATAAAATTTGAACTATAATCCTCAAAACAAACAAAAGCATGAATTGCAAACGATTTAAGATTAGTCTTGGCGTCACTGAAAAATAACCAATAATAAAACGTAAAAAAGTTGACCGTTAGCGACACTGAAACAGCAAAATGAACTGGTGATTGATAATTGAAATTTTTAGACTGAACTGATGATTAACCATACAAATGAGTCCACGGAATTTTTTGCATACCATGAAAGAAGAGTTGTTCTCAGCTACACTCGCAGAAAATCTGATAAACTACATGGCCGCTGTGAGCGACTCCGTAGCATTAGGGAGGCAAATATGCTTCTGGCTCAATTACTTGTCTGTATTTGCTTAAGTATTACTCTAAGTTATTGTTTTATTGCAGTTTTTGCAGACATGTGGCAGGCCCTGATGACAGATGTAGTCAATGTGTGTAAAGATGTCATTGACAGTTTGAGACAACCTGAGAAACAGACCTACATGTCTCTCCCAAGACCAGGGGTATGTAGCCTTTGTTTTAGTTTCAAATAAAGAAAAAATTTGGGTTGAATAGGCTACTATACACTACACCTCAACTAGCAATTAGATAAATAGTTTTTACGCCAAACAACTCATATTAACAATAAACGTATAGTACATGATTATAGGTTGGGAACTATTACAATTGAATGGATAAAGACTCCGTTCATATTGACGTGTCAAATAAATTATCGAAGTATCAATTCTACCACCAAGCATAAATGACCTTGTGGCAATTGATGAAACCTAACCTCTCCTCCCGAAACATTTCATGCCCATACTCACTCAAAAATAATAAAAAGAACATTCAGGAACGGCAATTTTTAGCATTACTTGTCAACAATTTAGCTTTACTCTCAAATAGGTTAAATAATGTATCTAGTTAGTAGTTATCTACTACTTCCTTTTCTAATGGTTTAATTTTATGATATGACTTTTTATTTTTGCAGAAGCATGGAACGACCAGCAAGCCTTTAAAACATGTTAGATTGGATGTGGATGTAAGTACTACCTTACTAAAAGTTTCAAGGTTTTCAACAGTTAAATGCACAAGGACAAATTTTATCTAAAACTTTGAGTCCAATGAACCATAAAATGAAATAAATAAGAGTAATTTATTATTTCTTTAAATAAATTTTGACTTTAATTTATCCAACAGACTGAGATGTGCATTATGCATTTAGCCTATTGAAATATGAATGTCTTAGTAAAATACTTTCACCAGCCCCACCACTAATTGTCAGATTGTCAAATAAAATGTACCGTTTCTTACTTATATTCTTTTTTTATAACATTCTAAAGTTACAATAACATTACTCTAGGAGTTATGAACAGTTATTAATGCAATTAATTACTAAAAGCTCTGTTATATAAATTGTTGAACCATATTATTTTAAGTAATAATTAAGAACAGTATTTAAAAAGGTATATTTTGAAGTAATTGTTGAACTGTATTTTAATTATTGAACCACTGAAGTAATTTGTTGAACAGCTGGGGTATTTTAAAACCATATTTCAAGTGATTTTTGTAACAGGAACAAGAGAAGATCGCCAAGACGGGGCTGGAGATGAAACTTGCGACATCGGAGATGGAGGCGGAGACGGAGCGATGGCAAGAAGGTGGAACCGGGGGGGCGAACATGGACGAGAACAATGACATAGTGAAGCGAGCCCGTAACATGTCTCGGATGGCGTTCAGTATGTATCAGTTCACCAAGGGTGACGGACCGCTCAAGACCACGCAGGATCTGTTTACGCAAGCAGAGTACTTTGCGGAAGAGGCTAACCGACTGTACAAAGTCGTGCGACAGTTCTCATACCAGGTAATGCTGAACTCAGAAATGTAATGATCACTATCTGGAAAAATAAAGAACATTTTTGTTTACGATAACACTATTAGATTTACATTTTAACAGAGGGGTTAAAGTGGTAGTTGATTGTTAAAATAAATTAACTTGTTTGCCTGAGTTCACGAATAAGTTGTTCTTCTACCCAGATAGCAAACCCCAGAAGCTTTTCATATTGTTCTAACTTAACTATCATGTTTGAAATGATGATGGTTGGCAATTTGGAGGCTCAGTCGGTAGTGCAACAGACTACAAATCTACAGGAGCGATGTCATGGGTTCAGATCCTTGTGTCTGCCACTAAATTTTATCAGTACAGTTCACTCTTGTTCTTTACTGGCTCATCAATAATTGCTTTGCAGAATATGTTTCAGCACAGGCCCGAGACCTATGTGGCAGGCAAATGCAAGGTTAAAAGAGGTCCTCAATCTTTTTTGTTAAATATAAATTATTAGTTATACAGGCAGTTGAACATTTTTTTGAACAAGATCCATAGAAATGTGCCATCTGCGATGAAATATGCTAATCGGAAAAGTAGACTGATTCACTCTAGAACTCAGGAAAATAAGGTAATTTATTTTAATACTATATACGATTCTTGAAACTGGGAAGTATATGAAATTTCTTACACCGCCAAAAATCTTTTAAATATACTAAATTATGTCATGCAGACTACAAAGGTTAAAAGTAACTTAACTAATAAGGTCTAAAGAAGATGTTAGTAAATAATTTTACAAACCATGGTAAATAAAATACCATTTTATTTGGTTCCTTTGACAGGAAAAACAGTTTAACAAAGTAAAGTCTAAAATCCTTATCAGGTTACGATTTTAAAATATACTTTTCTGTCCCGTTTTTTTTTTTTTTTAACATAAGAATAAGGTTTAAAATTGAAATATTTAAAATTCATCCCATAAAATTCTATGTGAAAGCTTAATATTTTCCATACTAGCAACAGAGCCCGTTGTAGTTAAATACAACGGTCCCTAGAAAGTACAGTAGTACATAATATATGCCCTTGTAAGTACCTGAACATTTTTTTAAGAATGAGATTGTTTATAAAATAAACAGATTTTTTAAAAGAGTAAAATAATGAAAAACACAAACAATTTTACAAAAATATTTTATTTACAGTATTTCTTTGTAAACAACATTCTTTGAAAAGACTTCATCTCTGATTGTTTTAATAATCTTCCTTGTTCTTTGCTAGGGATAATTTTAATTTTTATGTCTTCAAACCTTAACCCTTGATATTGCAACATACAATTGTCCATGGCTGAATACTGGTGCTGGAAGGTATATCCCAACTTTATCCAATGTCTGGCCTTGCGCTTTGTTTATTCTTATTGTAATAGCAAACGCTAATTTTAAAGGAAATTGCCGTCTTTTTAAAACAAATGGTAAATCTGTGTATCTACTTCATACATCATTTTGCAGGCTTCTGCAAATGGATTATACTTTGACATGAATAAGCCTAATGTTTGTAATAAATGTTCATTGCATCCAGAGTTTTCTTTGATTTTCATTCTTTGAGCAGTAGCCTCATCAGGATCGAGTATGTACCACTGAGCATATTTACGCTGCTCTCCATTTTCAGGATGTAATGTACCAGCACGATGATAAATAGCGCCATTTATTCTAAAACAATAAGGACCATAACTTGAAGGGGGGACTATTTGTGCTCCCATCGAAGCAAAAGACAGGGAGCTGTTAATTGAACGGATATTGGACTTAAAGTTATCGGAATAAATATTGTTATTAGTCATAAGCTGTTCAAGTAATAATGCAGTTTGAATCCGTTCTAATGTAAATTTTCCTTTTGAGCAGCATCTAGAAAACATTTTATCACCAGGTCTTTCTCCGACAAAGTGTTTAGCACCACAGAATTCACACACTTCACTAAGACTACCACATGAGTGTAACTTTATTTCACTTTCATCGTTTATATCTTTTAAGGCTTCAGGCACAAAAGTAATAGGTAGCTGTAAACTATTATTTACATCACTATTGTTTCCCCCTCCTATTCTTGTGTGATGAGCTGTTGATTCACGTCTGCCAGAACATGTTATCCTTTTTCTATTCTTTGCTGGACGTCCTTGTTTGCAGGTTGAGGAAGCTGCATCATCTTTGAGTAAAGTGTTAGTCACATTATCTTGTTTTGTTTCATCTTCTGTGTCTCCATAACATTTTTTTCTTTTTCCATTCTCCGCTGGACCTGTGTGATGAGCTGCTGATTCACGTCTGCCAGAACATGTTTTCCTTTCTCTATTCTTTCCTGGACGTCCTCGTTTGCAGGTTGAGGAAGTTGCATCATCTCTGAGTGAAGTGTTGGTCAGACTATCTTGTTCCTTTTCCTTTTCATTATCTGGGTCTCCATCCTTTTGATTGCTTGATAAACACTTTTTTACCCCTTGGAGTAAATCTTTATCTATACTATAAATCGGTTTCTTCAATTTATTTTTATGAGCTGTTGATTCACGTCTGCCAGAACATGTTTTACTTTTTCTATTGTTTGATGCACGGCCACGTTTTGATTTTGGTAAGATTACATCTTTTCTTGATTCTCAGGCATACTATCGTAATGCCCAGCATCCACATTTCCTGAGAATCGTAGTTTATAGATTGTTGTGCCTTCACCAACCGTTACAAAATAATCCAATTTCTCAGCATATATTTTGAATTGGCAGTCAAAAACTCTTGCTGCAGCTTCGATTTCGACATTACCGGCGTATTCCCCATCTTTGGTCATCAAATTTCTGTATCCCGTCGCGTTTTTTACTTCTAGTCTATATGTCTTATCCCCTACGATAAAAGGAGAATAGTAGTCCCAGTTATTGACGACTTCATCAACTACTGTGGATCGTATATCACTGTATCTGGATTGAGATTTATGGCATAAAAATGAGACACTTCTAAAGAAACAGTTTCCATCACCAACCATGTAGTGAAGAGTAAAGTTATTCATTTTTCAACTAATGTAAAATATTGAGTTTATAATTAACAGTTCAAAATAACGAATATTAAATACTATTTTAAACTGTGAATTATAAATTAAATTTGAACAATTTATAATTGACAGTTTAAAATAATAATTTTTGGTTATGAAATCCATGCATCACTTAACTTCCCAATACTTATTAATGGTACAGATTAAAAACATCACTTTAGAAACACACTTTACGGACCTCAACCACCAATTCAAATAGTAAACAACTAAATGTAAACAAAGAAAAATCAAGGAAATAACAATAAAACAATCAGCTGTTAAACTGTAGGTTAATACATGTGTTCCATATGATCAGATGATGCTTACTGGCTAACCCATTATTACTACCATAAATAAATAAAACTCAAACTTTACTAATTATTTGGAAATCTACACAGATTTTATTGACCTATTAATTAATAAAATCAGTCCAATACAACTGTAGATTTAGTTGTAGAAAGTTAACAAAAATCTCTCCAATTCAATATTTTCTCACCACAATAAATTAGGAGGTTGCTAAGCTTTTTTGCAAATAACTCTTAAACGGTGAGGAAATCGACCAAAGTGGAAGGTGATATTCTGAAAGAGAATAAAATTTGCTACAAAGTACTCTTTGGCGTTTTTTGAAAATATTCAAAAAAAGCAACCTAAAGTTAACTATAAATAGAAATTTTAAAATATAAACTAAAAAAAAAACAGTTTTTAATTTATTTTTGCTTTTTATTCTTTATTTACCACAAATATTTAATAAAATCAAACTTTCATAATTATTTGCAAATCTACACAAATTAGGCTTTCCAACAATACATTAGTTAACAAAATCGGTCCAGTAGAAGTCTAGATTTAGTTGTACAAAGTTTAACAAAAATATCCCTAATTCAGTATTTTTAACAACTAAAAATTTGGAGGTCACTTATCTAATTTGACAATAACTTTTAAATGGTGAGTAAATCGTAGTAAACGCACGTGATATTCTGAAAGAAGATAAAATTTCCTACAAATTACTTCTGTGTATTTCTTGAAATTATTTAATAAAGGCAGCCAAAAGCTGACTACAAATATAAACTTGAAAATAAAAACCTGAAAAAACAGTTTTTAATGTATTTTTGTTATTTTTATTTTTCCACCACAAATATTAAATAAAATCAAACTTTCATAATTATTTGCAAATCTACATGAGTAAGGCTTTCCAATGATTCATTAATTAACAAAATCGGTCCGGTAGAAGTCTAGATTTAGTTGTACAAAGTTAAACAAAAATATCCCAAACTCAATATTTTCTCATTATTATAAATTCTGAGGTTGGTTAGCTTTTTTGCAAATAACTTTTAAATGGCGAGGAAATCGACCAAAGTGGAAGGTGATATTCTGAAAGAGAATAAAATTTCCTACAAAGTGATACCATACACTTCTTGAAAACACTAAAAAAAGGCAGCTAAAAGTCGCACCCAAATAAAAAGTGTGAAAAACACCATTTTCAATGTATTTCTTATGGAAAACATGTTTTTTTGAAATTTTTCACCATAAATCATAATAAAAACAAACTTTCATAATTATTTGCAAATCTACACGACCTAAGCTTTCCAACGACCCATTAATTAATAAAATCGGTCCAGTAGAACTCTAGATTTAGTTGTACAAAAATTTTTAAAACTGAATTATATATAGAATAGATTATATTACATTGCTCTTTTTTTATGTGTACTTGTATTTAAATTGATTTAATTCCCCTTGTGGTAGTTTTTTTTCCTTTTTGAAATTCATTGATACAAAACACATAAAACATAAAAAAATAAAATTTAAAAAATGCAACCATCGAGATATACCCAATGATCTATCTACTTACGGGAAAATATATACGATACTAACTAGATAGAACTTCACAGTATATTTTTCATTCATAAATGTTGTGTGTAATTTATTGTTTTTGTTTTAAATGTGAATAATTGACTATATTTTGTGTTTTGTATATTGAACTGCTATAAGTTTTGAACACTGGTTTGGTGATGCTAGTGAACAATCTCTGAAACAGAAATCGTGCATTTCTAGTTAATTTGCACAACAGTAGTGATCCCATATACTACCTTTTCACTAGAAATTTAGATACATCTTAATCTTCATTCATAACTTTTCCTTCACTGTAGATATTCTATATTTTATTGATTCCTGAAGTATTTATAATAGTAATAAGTTTAAAATGTAACTGTTTCACAATAATGTAGGCTATATAAAATTGTAATATTGTTAGCATATATATTTAATATTTGTGTTATATTTTTAGCAACACATTTCCATAAATAGGCTACCTAACATAAACTTACTGTAGTAGCTCTTTAAAAAGTTGGTAGAAACCATGTTTATACAGGGTGTCCATAAAAAACGTTTCAGGCCTCATACTTAAAGGAAGAAAAAGGTTTATGTGCAGGAATGTCCGAAAATGCATATTTATTTATATCCGCCATTTTGTTTTTATATATAACTATTTTTTTTATTTTAAGTTTTTTCAACCGATGATTATGAAACTTGGTAAGAATGTTAACGTACACAATACCTCTTATAGGAAAAACAATAAAGTTGGCCCGATTGTAAAATTCAAAATGGCGGCCATTTAAACTTTTATAATTTTAAATAACTCAAAAACGGATAATTTTATCAAAAAATGTCAAGATTACTTTTTTTTAGCGCTTTTAATTTCCTATCAAACATTACCAAGGTCAAAAAGATTAAACATATAACTGAAATAAAACTTTTTTTGTGTAAAAATAAGTAATTAAATAACTTACGTCATCAATCCATGAATTGTTGTGGAGTACGCGTTTCATAGGATTGATTCATTCAATTCATGGATTGATGACGTAAGTTATTTAATTATTTGATAACTCAATCCGTTGTGCTACAATCTCAACATTATGTAAAAATAAGGCAAAGTTAGTCGGGACGGGGTGCACTTCATTTTGCCTGATCTTACAACTAAAAAACGTTCTACTGTATTTACTTTTTTTTTGTCCGATCTTTTTGATCTTGGTATTGTTTGATAGGGAAGTAAAAGTTCTAAAATAGTATTCTTGACATAATTGATAAAATTATCCGTTTTGGAGTTATTTAAGTTAAAAAAATTTAAACGGCCACAATTTTGAAATTTCTTGTCAGACTAACTTTGTTATTTGTTCAATAATAGATAGGTCTTGTGTACCTTAACATGTATACCAAGTTTCATAATCATCGGTTGAAAAACTTCAGATATAAAAATATTTTTGTATAAAAAACAAAATGGGAAAATATGCATTTTTGCATACCTTCACATAAACTTTTTTCTTCCTTTAATATGATAATTCAAATCCCAAAGTCCTTAAACGTTTTTTATGGACACTCTATATAAAATATTAAATTATAGTAGTAAATAAAGCACAACTGAGCACCCTGGAATATAAAATATTATATAAAATAGCTTTTATATGTTAAAGGAGTCATTATAATGTTTAATTATAAAATATTTAAATAAAAGATCTAATTTTAAGCATTTGTAAGTGAAGATTATGTTTTTGTTATAGGTAATGATTAAATTCAAATAAGTAAATTATAATTTAAAAAATAAAAGGAATGACGTTTTCAAATAATCATGTTATATTTCAGGAATGTTTATCATTTTTCATCTGCAACTAAAATGCAAACCGTAATTAATTGTTATAATTGCCTACATGTATGCAAACCATATCTATAGAATATTAATATCAAGTATAACAATTTGACCGGATTCCTCCTCTACAGTGTTTACATGTCATTTTAACTTTCAGTTAATTTTAAAGTTTAGTGAATCATAGTGCTTTAAAATTAAAAAAAGCTCAGTAAAGATTGATGGATACAGTTGTGATTTAACTTGTGGCACAATACAAAATAATGAGAAATACTTAAAGCTGTAAACAGTTAAAAAAGGTCAATATTTTAAAAGTAAATGTGGCATTTCCTGTTTGGTCAATTCTGTTCCCATTTGCATGCTGAAATCATGTTCACTAGAGGCTCTTTTTTAGTAACCACTCGTCAAGAAATTTTTTCCCTAAATTAATTATTAAATAACTTATCAATAATTTCCAATTTAACCGCAAGCTATAAGAAACTGAAAGTACAAACAAAAATATGTCAAAAACACTTGTGATAATATATTTACACTTATACTGTTCACTCACAAGACGGTAAATACATATAAAAGATGGTAAGTCGGGATCGATTTCGATTGGACACCCCAATCATCATCAGACCCAATAGGCAAATGTTTGCCAACAATTCGTTGTCACATAGTAGGATTTTGACACATCACATATGATTTTTGTTTTTAAAAAATTCCCCCGCCTTAGCAAACCTGCTGACTAAGAGAATTTCCATTTCTCATCTGAATGATTTTCATTTTAATTTATTTTAATATCATTAGGTTTAACGAGTACCTAGGTTTGCTACTACAAGGAATCAAAACTAATAAAGTGTGTAAAATATTAATAGCTTAGTATAAAATACATAAATTTGCCAAGTTTGATCAAAATATAGTATGCATAAACAAGCAAACTACAACATTTTACAATATTCTCCATAAAAATAACATGGGAATTTAAAATTTAAAATTTAAATTTTTTAAATTTTCTCCGTTACCAATAACTGTACAAAAATACTTTGATATACTAGATTAGTTGTTTTTTAAGCTCTTTAAAAAGGTCTAGAGAGAAATTGGGAAATTTTGTGTTTTGAGGGTCAAAAATGAGAAAAACTAATTTTTACCCCATAAAACCTGTAAAACCCCGTTCCCATGGTCCGATCATGCTGTTTCGCAAACTCAATCAAGTTTATCCAGCCTTACACCTTTAAACCAAATTTAATCAAAATCGGTAAAAAATTACTCAATATATCGCATTCACGGACACACACACACATAATATATATTATATATATTATGTATATATACAAATTTGAACGAATGGTGTTTTTGGCCTCTGGGGACATCTAAATGAGGAAGTAAATCGGTCCCGGGCCTAGGTCTTACCTTGCCACCTATGTTAATAGCTACTTCCCTATAAGGAAATTCGCTAAAAACGATCTAAACATGGTTATTTTCTATTTTTGCTTAATTCAATATTTCTAGTTAGTACAATATTCAAAAACATTTGTAAAAATCCTGAATCTTGATACACAAACAGGAGCTGGCATCTAAAGGCATATTTCTTGACGAATGGGTTTTTGTTTCATTCAACCTCTTGATTATCTGTCTCTTTATGTCTGTCTTTCTCTTCTGCGAGCCTGCACTTTGGACTGCATTTCAAGTCTGTAGTTATGTGGTATGGTAAACTTAACAGGTAAATCAAAGCTATCCTAAGTTGCAGCAGTCTTAAATATCAAATACTGTACCAGCAAACCCAAACAAAATGAACATTATGGAAAGGAATAATAATTTTAAATACACTTTAATTAACAAATACTTCAATATTGGAAAACTGTACCTTACATGATTCTATTGTAATATAATTTTGATAATACATGCAGTTATTAGTATAGTTTGTAGTTATTCTTTTTTTAATATTTAAGGACAAAATCTGTTATGTATGAAACCACAATTTTTATTTCCTTGTAGGATGTAGAAAACTTCCCTTCTTTATCATCTAAGTACTCACCCTTGCACATAGATTTTGGATTCAAACAGATTGTAAACTATTTAATCTAATAATACAGGAAGTAGCTTGGATATGTACAAAGTATTTCTTTTAAAAGTGTTTAATAGTGAATTAAATTTAACTGCCAGAAACACAAATAAATGATATAAAATAAAACATTGTTTAGCTTACTACAATTCTAAAACTGCATGCTAAATCTAGCATGAGTGATTCTTTCCTCTTCTATTCAAATGATATAACTTTTTGGTGTCCCCTTCTTTTTAACATGAAACCCTGAAATCCCTTGACTTGCTGTATGCTGTGTTTAAGTAGTGAATGCTACTCTTTTATGAATGAACAAAGAGCAAAATAGTGAATTTTTACAGATTTGTAGTGTTCATAGTTTACAGCTAATGTAATGGTAAATCCATGGTGTTTACTTTCTACTAAAAATAGGTTTTAGGTTATATCTTAAAGGAATTAGGCCAATGGCTTATGAGGAATGTTTTGAAAATGTTCAGTTAATTTAACTGGGAAAATTAGAGTTTAGGTGCTAATTGATACACAAAGAAAGGTTGCTATATTCTTACTTTTCTTTTCTTCTTAATCTAATATACTACTTCTTCAGATACAGAGAATCGATTGAAGATAGATGTTTAATCTTCCCCCTGAAGTCAGGTGTCTTAGGTTAAGTTGAGGCAGGATACTTGAACAGGAAAATGGTGGGGTCAATATGCTAGCAAATTCTATTAGTCCTTTCACTGTAAATACACCACTAAAAAGTGGTAATTTGAAAATATTATTAATTTGCTATCCGAAAATATAATACTGTATTCTATGTTAGCATATGACAAATACACAAGTTTTTGCCTTATGATTTTCCCCCATGAAACTAATTAGTTATAGTTTTAAACTATTCATTACATTGAAAATTTATAGTGTTGCATCGTAGTTGGTACTATTGGGATTTACTATGCTGGCCTGGTCCAGCCTACCCTGGTTACCTTCGGTTAGGTAACTTGCCTCAACTTAACCTGAAACCTAATAGGACATAATATCATCGCAATGGTTTTTTTTACCCTATTAGCCCCTGGACCCTAATTTTCTCAGGTAAACGTATATTTAGCCCTGAGAATACAACTAAAACAAACATTTTTTAATTGTTCACAGGTGCCTTTAGGATCTCATAAAAAAGAACTCCTAGAACAGTTGGACAGAGTGCCCACCTATGTTCAACAGCTGCAATTTACTGTTAAGAACCCTACTGTTGGCAAAGCTGCAACTTTCACTAAAGTGGATAGTGTGATTCACGAAACCAAAAACCTCATGAGCGTTATTTCTAAAGTGGTCACAACGTGCTTTGTCTGTGCTACCAAGGTAAGTTGTTGGAATCTGTTTTACATTTATTCTCGTTAAAGTTTTCCTTGTCCCAGGTTTTGGAGTGGTAGGCATACCAAGAAGAAGAAAACCGTAGTGGGACATACCTTACATTGAAATTAATTTACACATTCTTTGTTCCATTCACAGTTAAGTTAATTGTTTATGTTGTTCGTCAAGGTTGTGTATCTAAAGAATCAAATGTGATTTGTTCTCGGGGCATTAGTTCCTCAAACCTAACCTACAAGTACTTATGTGCTTATGTTTCTCTTTTGATGGCTCATCTACAGACCAAGACCTTTCTTTAGACACCTCTACCGAGTTTCTACGCCCAGCCGTTCTCTCAAAATAGCTGTGACAAAGAAAAACAGTTTCAAATTAATATATAGCTAATAAATAAAGTAATTTTAGGCTGGTATACTTATATTTAAATAGGTATACTATAGTATTACACATCTACCATAGCCATAATGTTCTCCAACTCCTCCTAAACAATATAAAAATAAATTATTAAAAATCCGCAAAATATCACAAATATTCATGAAATTAAACAAAATTGAATTGAATTACACAGTTCTCATTGGGTATCGCAGTTTTTTTGTTGCTCTTGCTGCTTAGTTCAAATTAGCTGTTTTTATAAACGCAAAATAAATAATAGTGCTGCACCCTGTTGGTAAATCTTATAACTTCTTAATGCTTTCGCATATCATAGAACCAACTTTTTTAGTTGAAACAGCTGTCTAAATTCTTTAATTCCTATTAAATATGAATACTCATAAGGTTAACATGGGGAGCTACAGAGTCACTGGGGCGGAGCTCAAAAGGATTTTTGAGATAAAAATATGCCTATATTTTAATCCGGAATGTGAGCTATCATCATGCCAAAAATCAGCCCAATCCGTCCAGTAGTTTATGCGTGATTGGGCAACACACACACACACAAACGCACAAACTTTCAGATTTATAATATTAGTAAGAAGTAAGATTAATATCATACATAGGATTATATGAATATAAAATTATAGAGTCTAAAAATTATTCTTTGATAGAACTTAATAGAGTCGACTTCCACTAATTGGAACACATATAATAAGCAGGGGCGGCTCCAGGATTATTTTTTTGGGTAGGCCTGACTAGGATCAAGAAAGAGTTTGATCGGGGACGAGAGGTTTGAAGAGCTTTGCCTGCAAAAAGAGGGAATTTTAAAATTGAAATGCAAAATAATTAGTTTGAATGCTTTCTCTTTATCTACATATAATTAAATTTTTTTATTTATTTATAATTCTGAAAAATCTACCAACATTTTGGGTAGCAAAATTTTGGGTCTGCCCTCTGGAGGCCCCTGCAATAAGTTTGAACTAATCAGTATAGTTCAGAGAATAAATAGATATGTTTTCTGATAATTCCATCATCTAAATTAAATGAGTAAATTACAGCAGTCTACTGGGAATTAAATTAAGTAATATAATCAATAATACCAAAAAGGTCACGTTGTAACTGGATTAACTATTTATTTTTACATAAACAAAAAAATTTGTTTGTGGGAGTTGTAGAAGAAAACATGTAAAATAAATAGACATATCATTAATTCATTTGTTAAATTTTGTTGGGGCTTATACATCTATTATATTATTTATTATTTAGTGTAGCAACAGAGATAATTACTCACATAATTACACCAATAATAATTTAGAATTGGTTTTGCAAAAAGTGTTTAAATACTTGAATTGCATTTTGATAGAAAACAGATGCTATTTCCTGATTTTAAATTTTATCAGTTTTTCCCAAGCCGTTTTGGCTAACTCTTATTTAACTTTATTTGACAACAAATTTTGGTACACCAGTTTGATCTATTGATGCCCACAAGAGTTCCTTGGAGCGTACAACAAACTCCAGCGTCGTCACTGGCCCTACGAGCCCGGACATTGCCTCGATAGTGACGGTACAATTGTGATGCAAAACTAACAAACCTTGTGACAGCTGGCTATAGAGTGATGTTAACAGACACTAGCCCATTAGATATTGAAGAACACTAATTTACAGTCAATATAGTAATAGCAAATCTCTATATATTTATGTAATGCTAATAATACTGATAAATGTAAAGTGCTAAATGTCTTTTAACTATTACTATCCCGATCAGGAAACAGTGCTTTAATTAAAAATAAATACTGGCCAGCAGCTCTAGGTGAAAAGATAAAATGATCGATATGAAGATTAGAAAATATGTGAGATTACATATATTTTACAGATTATAATACATATCTGCTTAATAAAAAAAAAAACTAAATCAAACCGAATTAGAATTTTATGAGACCAAACTAACGAGAGCCTGGTGGCCCTCTAAGGTATTACTTGAACCTATAACTTCTTTAGTAACTTTTTAAACCTTTTACTTCAGTGGTTATCTATTTTTTTGATTCACTTTCTTGTTTATCTAGCTCTATGGATGATAAATATTTGGTAAATGATTTGCATATCCTAAGTTTGGTACAACACAGGAACTTAATTAGATATTCTTTGCTTCAAAAATTACTACGCCTATCAGCATGAAGCAGTAAGGATGGATTAAAGTATTATTGATGAACTTTATTGATGACCAAAAAGTACAGCATGAGTAAAAGTTGGGAAGCTGTAAGCCTTTAGATTAGAGCCAACAAATAAATCCTCGTAAAACACTTAAAACTTTGAACCTGAACAAATTAAATCATTTTAATAATGTCTTCAAGCGGCCAATACTGTACTTACATTGCAACTAATGCATGTGCTTATTAATTTTTATAGGTTAATGTAAACTAACTTTACACAATAAAATTATGAATGTCTTACACATTTATTAGTTTTTATAACCAATGTGTTAAAATGTTCAAATCAAAGGTGAATAAGTCTTAGTCACTGCATTAAACTGTTAAAGCTCACTTTGTATTGAAACCTAGCAAAGTATTTATATAAAGGTAAAAGTAAAATGTCTGTCATCAATGCATAGAAGATTGCTTTAAACTGTTTAAACGCATTGCAGTATTATATTAAACTGTACACATTTGTGTAAAGCATGTATAAGTTAGGCCTACTGGTTTGGCTGAGTTGAAGTAAATATTGTGTTCTAATAAAAGATTAAAGCATAAATAATCTTTAATAAAAAAAACATAAATACATAAATAACATAAATAATAGGTCTCTTCTTTTATAAGTTTAAAAGGATGTTTGTGTTCTTTTGTGCTCATATTCACATTTAACTATTCAAATGACTTTAAATTACAGTACATAACTCCAACTCACATTATAAACAAATGTTGGTCAGTTAATATTTTTTGCTTCTTTAACTCCTCCAAAAAGTGTAATAAACAAACAAACTTAAAATTTGTTTTTAATATGACAACGTTTAATTGTTCTATAAAATTTTTAGCTACATTTTACAGCAACCTTTTGACCATAAAATGTTTTATTTACAAAAAGATTTTAGTTTACGTTGGTCAACATACCTATTTTTAATGTTTTAAATACAAGTGTTAGAAACAAAGAATGTAATTAGTTAGTTTGCACTTATTTACGTTTGATCATTTAAGAACATAAAGGATTTACAATTTTTCTTATTTGCCCTCCCTTCAGATCTTAGATTGCTAGCTCATGGAACCTTTTTACACATTTTTCCAACACCACTAGAATTTTGAAATGTTTATAATCGTTACTTGCAACATCTAACCTCTCATGTTTTGTTTCAGTATAACCTGGATTTCCGAGGGCTGTCGACACGTGGCTTTGGCGGTGGCAGTATGAGAGACGATGAAGGGTCGGGATCAGGCGCCGGTGGAGAGGGGGGCAAACTTGGGGGAGGATCAGGCACGGACTCGAACATATGACAGTTCGGGATGGCTCGAAGAGGCAAGGGGGACGCCCGACGGACTCGGGTGTCCTTCCTACTCTTCTGAGCCAGTTGCCCCCCACCTGCACCTGAACCACACCCGAACTGTCCATCCACCATGGTTATGTGCTCTGTATAACTCTAGTTCTATGCTTAGGATTACTAAGTATTGTTGCTGATATTTTCTATGACTTAAAACAGTTTTTAAGTTTAGGGATCTGGAATCTGATCCCGTCTTTGGATTCATTAGAAACTATTGCTAAAAGCTTTTTATCTTTAAGTAGCTCAACCAAGGGCTTGTCTACAATTATATACATTGAACAATAGCAGATTCTTTCAACTACAAAACTTCCTGATCAGTTGTCTTGGTTTTTTTTTATTTGATGTAATGGAACTGGAACCTATATGACCCCTCTGTTTAATCCATCACCATCTCTTATCCAAACACAATTAAAATTACCAATATAAGTATTTAGTAAAAAATTTGTTTATAGAACCAGTTTAAAACTGATAAACAAATGATGTAGAAAGTGAAGTTGTGGAACACTATTGCTTTACCCCTCTAATCGAGTCCAGGGAAAGACCCATTCAAGGGGATATTGGGAGCTGTTTTGCAATCATTTAACTGTTTCTCAAGGAATAATTAACCAAAAATACATAATCTTCAGTTTTGTAACAAATTCCCAATCGCTAATTTATTCTTTTATAACAATTAATGTAGTGTATCCATAAAAACAAAATATTTCTGTTATAAATCATACTTGATTAACGTAATAAATAAACCATTAGGACAGAAAGGTATGCACTTTATTAGACATCAGATAGTAATTTTAGAATCATTATCAGAAAAGTAAAAAATCTAAATAGGACCACAGAATAGATTATTGTAAAACACTCTGTTAGTTATTTTGCAGACTTATACAGATCACATAACCATTTGTGTGAAACAAAACTTAATAGATTTTTAACATAGAACACAACAAGTTCCTATGTGGTTTACAATACTGAATCATTTAGCTGGCCTTTGTTCTCAGTGTCGTAGGTAATGCTTTAGACAATAAACGTAACCATCAACTACAATGTAGGACAGTTTTGTTTCTCTGGATGGATGGTTTTTGACTTTATAGTTTACCTGGTTGTGAAAGCAGCATTGCACTGAGCAATGTGATGGAATTACTTAGTCCGGATTGGTATCTCTACAATTAAAATACAAACCATAGCTGCTTAAAGGCTGCTAGTAAAGCAATGGTAACAAAGAAGTACATATTTCCAAGAGTTCCCATACAAACTAATATCAGAAAAACTATATTTTGTGATTCCTTCCCAGCTTAAAAGATTGTAGTCTGCTGTAGCTAACATAAATTGTCATCTAATTTAGTATTGGAGAAATTTTACTTAAAATTTTATTCAGTGAGAAAAGACATTTTGTGCTTTAACTTGCCTTAGTGCAGTAAGTTTAGCTTTACCAACTTATTTAATTCACATTGTGTCAATCAGGATGTGGTGTGGGGGGAAGACGGAAGGCTCCCAATAACACTGAGAGTCACACCACTTGCAAGTAGATCCAACGGCAATAAATTGTTGAGATGAATGTACAAAATAACAAACGTGACGGTGACATGTGGGTGTGTGTATCGAAATCGCCACTCTAATTGACACAGTCTAAATGTATTGCGAGACTACAGTTTTTACAAACAATCAATATCTTACATCATACACCAAGTTTCAAAGCATTGTTGAGATAGCCAAGTCTGAGTGCCATGCTGTCTTCACAACTCCGCAGCTTCTACGATATCCAAGTCAAACTCGGTGGCCAGTCAAAGCCTGTGACCTAAACTTCCCGGGTTGACACACCGCTCGACTTCCATTCTAGGCTTGCAAAGTACAAACGTCATTGTCATTGTCGGTTACTATTCGTGTGGTGTGTCACTGAAATGTATTAGTGTTTTTTCATTGTTTTTAAATCAGAGTGTACTGTTTTGATCGTCTACGGTGTTCCGTATGTTTGTTTTGCTACCAGCTACCAGGGATTACTATTGTCTAGACTAGACGAGCATGAGTAATCTGCCTTTTCGTATAAATGTGTCGTACACGATAATAATAGTTAGGTTTTTAATAAGGTTTTGTATATATGTACAAGGATGAATGGTAAATGTTAAAGCTCGGTGCACAAGTTACTGCGCACACAGCGAGATCGGTCTGTAGCACAGAGCTTCAAACAAGACTTGATCATTTTGACAAATCTTAGAATTACTAGAGTTTGTTATTCATGGTTTCAATATGTATTCCAAAAGCAAACGTTTAACTGACATTGTTAGCCATTACCTAGAAATGAAAAAATACTACTGGTTGTAGCAAATTATTAACATGTTATTTATTGTTATAAGCATTTTTGTGAGTCTGAATAACTATTTTTTTATCAGTGGGAGGAGAACATGTGGCATTGTATTGTTGGAGTTAAAAAATGTATTATATTATCAGTATATTATTATAGTCTCAATAGATCTTATTGAATGGGTGTTGTTTATATAAAATTTTGTTTATTTTTACATACATTGAATCATCTAATATAATGTTATCTCTCTAGGAGATAACTATATAAAATTTTTTCAATCTTTACTAATAGACCTACAATTTTTATCTTCTAAATAGATCAATGTAAAAACACAAAAAATAAGAAGTGGTATTCAGTGTTTGTTTTTCATGTGAAGTACATGTTTGATTTTAGGGTCTTGTATATAGGTAAAGCAGGGCAAAGGTAGGTAAGTTTTATTTTGTTGATGAGGAACTGGAACTTATGTTGTTCATCGAGGTTAAAAAAACATAATAATAAATCAAATAAACAGTTCATTTAATCTACTATAAATACTACTAGTAATCAATGTTTAACATTTATTTTTCTGACAAAAGCCAATGAGATTACTAAGCAGTTGAAAGCTCTAGAAGAGTTATTTTTTTTATTTTAGTGGACTGCAATGTGTTAAATAGTTTCCACAGTACGTTTTGAGTAATTGTAGCCTACACATAACAACTACAACATTAAACAGTCGACTGACTCAGATTGCATCGCAAAATAGTTCTAAAATTGTTTAGAGTTATCGGATCGCAAATTAGTTTGCTTTTGAAAATTAGTGTGTTAATTTTAAATATATCATAGACGCGTAATTTTTATGTCATCAAGATATTTTATTAAAGTGTTTACAATCAATTGTGATTCAATGACATATATTTTTATTAGATGTTTTCTATTAAATCGATATTTTATGTCACAAACCTAAGAAAAGACGATTAGTCGTAGTTAGTCAATCAATCACCGTAGATATTCACTTGTTATCGTATCTCGTCACGTTTGTACCCGTTAGACAATCCACATTTGCATTTTGCTACTCAAAATGTCGTGAGTCGCTGTTTTGCTTTTGGAAAATGGTTTAACTTTGAAATGTGTTACTGGATTCTTTCAGGTGTTTTTTACGTAGGTAGATTTTGTATCACTAGCAAGACCTGTTTTTGAAAGTAGATTACCCAGATATCTGTGATATGCGACAGCATCAGAAATCCCCCTTCCCACCCTTAGTGCCAACCCCCGTGGAAGTGGATGTATGCAGTATGTCGTCTGTTTGCTGGTTGTTGTACAAACTAATCTGTCGGGGCGTGCAGTCTCGGCCACCTAAGACTGTGCTTCCAAACAATGACGTAAAGATCCCATTAAATTTAATACGATTAGTTGCTTGGCCAATTGCAATTTACTGTACAGTATTTAAAATCAAGTAGTATTTTTTCAATGTTTTAATAAAATCCATTATTTTGTCACTTGAACAGAGCAAACTGTTGGTTTTTACTCTTCAAGCATTTGCCGATGACTTCACGCTCCCCATGCTAAGCTATTTAAGATGTAATTTTGTGCTTGTTCGATAAGCGATCACTACATCTGTTTTATGAAATGTAAACTAAATTCTCTGTGTATTTCTTGTTGTTGCAATGTTTCATTCAGTTTGGTTGTTTTTACTCCTAGTACATGTGATGAAACGCAGGGTGTTTAGGTACAATCAATTGATAACCTCCCGTTTTTTACTCTCATTGTTGTAACCTACCGGACATTGTAACGGAGTTACGTTGTTGTTACCTGTTAGTTATAACGCGGCCACGTTTTTCCACGTAACCGCGTTGCACTGGTTGTCATTGTTGTGTGCAAATGTTTTGTTAGAACTTAACTATTGTATATCTTTTATTTTGATTATCATTTTAAAGAAACACCAATGAATATAGCTATTTGACATTGACTAGTTCCTTGTTTACAAGTTAAGATCGTTTAATCACTGTTAGACTCGTTGTTTGATGGCAACTAATCTTAAGATGTTCTTGAATAAGCAAACTACGCCATAATTATGTTTGTTTTCAGTTGTGAACTTAAGGGGAAATTCAATAATGTTGATTTCATAATTGTCTTCCATTTTAGAGTGTAATTTAGAGTATTGATTATGTTTGTTACAATTTATTTCATTAATGCTCCATTTATGTGAAGATTTTTTTATCAATTGTATCTTTGAAACTGAACAGTCTACTGTGTCAAACCTATGAGTTATGGGTTTAGGTGTTCCAGAGGTTAATAGCTGATCATAGAATAACTAAACCATGTAAAATATCTTCGCAGTTAGTTTATAAAATCATCAATGTAAACACATTAATTGTGTTCACTTTTCCCTCTACAAATATCTTACACGCTGTTAAATATTTAAACTTATAAAATGTTGATTATTTTAAACATATTCCTAACACCAGCAGATCTTAGTCAGAATAAATAATCACTTAAAACCCTGCGAAGATATTTAAAATATACACCCAATCTGCCGAAGTAAACTAAACTAGTTTATAATAATCTGTATTGTTACAATCCGTAAGTGTAATACTACTGAATTTGAGCTCTAATTGTAATTGTGATAAATTAAGGTTAGTTTGTAGCTAAACACATTCTAAACTAGTCCAATCGTAGATAGACTCGAGTCTCAGTCCCCTTAAGTTTCACAAAGTTGTATTGTGAAGACATATCATTTTTATGCTGTTGTCGTTTTTTGTTGGAGTGGAAATTCGTAGCCTGTTCTATTTTATAAATGTACGTTATTTATTATAATAATTATTTAAAAAAGCTAGACAGGGCAATAAAGACATATTTTGATTAGGTTAGACATTTAAATTGTGTTTTATTTCATGCCATTCAAACCAATTATACACCTTAAATTTTGGTTTTAGCGAATTTCCCTATAGGGAAGTAGCTATTACCGTAGGTCTCATGGTAAGACTTAGGCCCGGGACCTATTTACTTTTTCATTTTGATGTCCCCAGAGGCCAAAAACACCATTCGTTAAAATTTTTATATATGTATATATATATATATATATATATATATATATATATATAGGTATATATATAGATTTATATATATATATATATGTGTCCGTGAACACGATAACTTGAGTAATTTTTATCCGATTTTGATGAAATTTGGTTTGAAGGTGTAAGGCGGGATAAACTTGAATGAGTTCGCGATCCAGCATGATAGGACTATGGGAACAGGGTTTTATGGGGGGTTTTATGGGGTAAAAATTGGTTTTTTTCATTTTTGACCCTCAAAACACAAAATTTCCCAATTTTTCTCTAAACCTTCTTAAAGAGCTTAAAAAAACAAACAATTCAGTATATCAAAGTGTTTTTGTACGGTTATTGGTTACGGAGAAAACTAAAAAAATGGTAAATTTAAAAGTCCCATGTTATTCTTATGGAGAATATTGTAAAATGTTGTAGTTTGCTTGTTTATGGATATATTTTGATCAAACTTGGCAAATTTTTTTATTTTATAGTAAGCTATCAATATTTTACTAAAAACACACTTTATTAGTTTCCTTGTAGCAGCAAACCTAGGTACTCGTTAAACCTAATGTTATTTAAATAAATCAATTGAAAATCAATTCAGCCAAATGGAAATTCGCTTAGACGGCAGGTTTGCTGCGGCGGGGGTATTTATTATTTTAAACAGTGTTTTGAACAAGCAAACTGAAATTTAAAACTTCGAACACCAGGGATTCTTTGATTTCATCATGCCACTTTTTGTCACTATCCAATAAAAAAATCTATATACTGCAACAGCTTTTGACACACACACTCTGTAAGGAGTAAAAAAAACTGAGCAAGATATCTGATAGGTGCAATTCCACCAATCCTATCAACTTATATTGAAGTTGTTCACATTTATTTAGTTTAGTCTCTGCCACATACAGAGTAGTGATGTCTTCTGGTTGGAAATACATTGAACTGTGCTTTATTAAAAATAGATTACAGTACAGTATTTAAGCATATAGTGGGTATTTGTTAAAATAGCTTAGTATGAAAAGAGTAATCCCAATTCCTCCGGACTAAGCTAAAAATGAGTTAACATATTAACATATGAGTTAACATATGAAGTTAACATATTTTAAAGTCAATATTACTTGAGCTAAGCTTATCAAGCTCCGACTCATAATGAAGGAGTAATGAAACTGACTACTATTGTATACAGCATGAAGCTTTGCTAATAACAAAGTAGCTATGAGCTTTTGGGTGGATAAAGTACTTTCACTTTGGGGGTTTAGAACAAAAATTTTGTTTATACTTACATAATATATTGATGAAATATTCATTAATTTTTTAATCACTTTAAAATCCATGGTGATATTTCTTACAAATGGTATAACATGGCAAGATAAAATTAACTTTGTCTTTTACTATTAAAATTAAAAGAATGTATAAGTTGGTTTCTCGAAGTAAACATGCTAGAGAGCTCTGTGCAAATTGTATGTTAGCAAAAGTTTCATCTATAAATAACAAAACTAGAAAATCAAAAAAATATCATTCCCATAAAAAAAGAAACAGTAGAGGGAAAAAGGGATTAAAGTGGAGGAAAAGAACTAGCAAACAGAAACGACCATCAAGGAAACGGAAGAGGCTGAGAACAAAACCCGGAAGAAAATATAAACATCCCCTTTCGTATTTTCAAAAGCCAGAAGAATCTCCAAATGTTCATGAGGTTCCAAAAAATAAAATAAAGCAAGGTAATATGAAATTGTAAACTGGATTAACACTATGTTTTCTTTATCCCTTTACTAAATCCATAAATATAAATAAATAAATTGTAGTTGTGTTGTCATGACAGCCAGTAATAATCTCGCCAATTGTGATTTTAGTAATAATTATTTAGTATTTCTCTTAACTCAAAAAACAAAAAGAGAGTAAACAGAAGATTTGTATAGCATAATATGTATAATATAGCGTGTGGGTAAGTTAAGTTTCAAGAGAGTTTATATTTGGGGGTGCTAATGTTCCTCTCTTATTTTGGGATAAACTTCCTTTTAGTGCTATAAACACAGTACCAAAGGAGAGGCAACAATATCATTTTATCCTATCCTTTCCTATATTCTCATAAGAGCAATTTCTGTCTGTCTGTAGTAAATATCTCGACAGTGTAAAGCTTAAATTTGCATTGTCTTTAATCATAACCAATAAACTTTTCTTTGATATTTCATTAAAATTATGAAGTTCAGCTCCTTAAAGCCTACATTTTGAAACCAGGTGTTTAGAATTCATTGCTTTAAACGTCCTAAATTTGAAAAAAAAACTCTGTTAAACTACGTTCGGTGTCATATAGGGAGATGGAGAAAAGGCTCCTAACAACACTGAGATTCATAAGGCATAGAGGAAATTATTGATGGTAGGGGAAATACATGCGATTGGCTTTGTCTAATAGATGTAAAAAATACAAAATAATCATATGCCGGTACGAAAATGAATACTGCGTACATTAGTAAAAATACAAGTTGCAAGACAGGGTCCAATTTAACCAATTTAAAATGCATACCACTACAGGCAACATGCAAGTGGCATTAATCATATATTAACCATCCAACAACAATTTATTATTTATTTACTTTATTACTGTATTAAGATAAAAAAACAAGGCCCCGCTAGAAAAACGTAATAAATTGTAAACACATCGGTAGTGGAGAAGGGTTCCTGTGTGGATAAGCATGCAGCTGGTGACTCTAAGATAGTGGCACAAGTAAAATCTCACTAACTCGACACCTGGTAACTGTCACAGACTGTGTCACTCGAAAGTTAACAGCTGACAGGTGGGTGGCCAGCAACTCCGCACAGGGAAAATAAAGTTAATGGTTTATAGCGGGCGGAGCTACCTCAGCGGAATCAGCTGTACTGCCAGTTGGTGAGACACAGTGGGATATTTAATGTTTGCGCGGGATAAAACAGATGTTCTCCCTGCGAGTGGGATAACTTCTCGCGTCGAGGCTTCTGTCACCTCGCAGGCCATGTAGTGTGACGTAGGCCAATCTGTGCTTAGCTGAATTGTCAGTTGGTGGGACACAGTTGGATATCTCCAAGTGTGGGCGGTATAAGGGATTTTCTCCCTGCGAGTGGGATAACTTCTCGCGTCGAGGCTTCTGTCACCTCGCAGGCCGTGAAGTGTGACGTAGGCCTATCTGTACTTAGCTGAATTGTCAGTTGGTGGGACACAGTTGGATATCTGTGTGGGAGGTATAAAAGGGATTTTCTCCCTGCGAGTGGGATAACTTCTCGCATCGAGGCTTCTGTCACCTCGCAGGCCATGTAGTGTGACGTAGGCCTATCTGTGCTTAGCTGAATTGTCAGTTGGTGGGACACAGTTGGATATCTGTGTGGGAGGTATAAAAGGGATTTTCTCCCTGCGAGTGGGATAACTTCTCGCATCGAGGCTTCTGTCACCTCGCAGGCCATGTAATGTGACGTAGGCCTATCTGTGCTCAGCTGAATTGTCAGTTGGTGGGACACAGTTGGATATCTGTGTGGGAGGTATAAAAGGGATTTTCTCCCTGCGAGTGGGATAACTTCTCGCAGCGAGGCCTCTGTCACCTCGCAGGTCATGTAGTGTGTTGTAGCACAGCCACCTCTGTAGGCCTAACTGTGCTTAGCTGAATTGTCAGTTGGTGGGACACAGTAGTTGGATATCTCCAAGTGTGGGAGGTATAAAAGGGATTTTCTCCCTGCGAGTGGGATAACTTCTCGCATCGAGGCTTCTGTCACCTCGCAGGCCGTGTAGTGTGACGTAGGCCTATCTGTGCTTAGCTGAATTGTCAGTTGGTGGGACACAGTAGTTGGATATCTCCAAGGGTGGGAGGTATAAAAGGGATTTTCTCCCTGCGAGTGGGATAACTTCTCGCAGCGAGGCCTCTGTCACCTCGCAGGCCGTGTAGTGTGACGTAGGCCTATCTGTGCTTAGCTGAATTGTCAGTTGGTGGGACACAGTTGCATATTTCCAAGTGTGGGAGGTATAAAAGGGATTTTCTCCCTGCGAGTGGGATAACTTCTCGCAGCGAGGCCTCTGTCACCTCGCAGGCCATGTAGTGTGACGTAGGCCTATATGTGCTTAGCTGAAATGTCAGTTGGTGAAACACAGTTGGATATCTGTGTGGGAGGTATAAAAGGGATTTTCTCCCTGCGAGTGGGATAACTTCTCGCGTCGAGGCTTCTGTCACCTCGTAGGCCATGTAGTGTGACGTAGGCCTATCTGTGCTTAGCTGAATTGTCAGTTGGTGGGACACAGTTGGATATCTGTGTGGGAGGTATAAAAGGGATTTTCTCCCTGCGAGTGGGATAACTTCTCGCATCGAGGCTTCTGTCACCTCGCAGGCCGTGTAGTGTGACGTAGGCCTGGCTGTGCTTAGCTGAATTGTCAGTTGGTGGGACACAGTTGGATATCTCCAAGTGTGGGAGGTATAAAAGGGATTTTCTCCCTGCGAGTGGGATAACTTCTCGCAGCGAGGCTTCTGTCACCTCGCAGGCCGTGTAGTGTGACGTAGGCCTATCTGTGCTTAGCTGAATTGTCAGTTGGTGGGACACAGTAGTTGGATATCTCCAAGTGTGGGCGGTATAAGGGATTTTCTCCCTGCGAGTGGGATAACTTCTCGCAGCGAGGCTTCTGTCACCTCGCAGGCCGTGTAGTGTGACGTAGGCCTATCTGTGCTTAGCTGAATTGTCAGTTGGTGGGACACAGTTGGATATCTGTGTGGGAGGTATAAAAGGGATTTTCTCCCTGCGAGTGGGATAACTTCTCGTAGCGAGGCGTCTGTCATCTCGCAGTTCCTCGCGGGCCGTGTAGTGTG